GATGGTGATGATGATGGTGATGATGGTGGTGATGATGGTGATGATGATGGTGGCGGTGATGATGGTGGTGATGGTGGTGATGGTGGCGGTGATGGTGGTGATGGTGGCGGTGGTGGTCATGGTGGCGGTAGTGATGGTGGTGATGGTGATGATGGTGGCGATGATATCTGCACCGGTCCTGGACCTCCCCTAGGTCAACTCAGCCTGAAATAAGTACCTGGTGCGGTGCGTAGTAAACATCGCCACTGGGGAGACAAAGGCGGTCGGGCGTGGTGCTGGCCACCCACCCCCTCGTGTGCCGTGCCGGCCTTCATAGGTGCTGCTCGCTAACAGCACTTGCCCCTACAGTCTGTTAAGGATCTTTGTCTTTGGTGATGATGGTGGTGGTGATGGTGGCGGCGGTGATGATGGTGGTGGCGATGGTGGAAGTGATGATAGACTAATACTGCCCATAGACTAACACTGCCCATAGACTAACATTGCCCATAGACTAACACCGCCCATAGACTAACATTGCCCATAGACTAACACTGCCCATATACTAACACTCCCCATAGACTCACATTGCCCACAGACTAACATTGCCCATAGACTAACACTGCCAATAGACTAACACTGCCCATAGACTAACATTGCCAATAGACTAACACTGCCCATAGACTTAACATTGCCAATAGACTAACACTGCCCATAGACTAACATTGCCCATAAACTAACACTGCCCATAGACTAACATTGCCCAAAGACTAACACTGCCCATAGACTAACACTGCCCATAGACTAACATTGCCAATAGACTAACACTGCCCATAGACTAACATTGCCAATAGACTAACACTGCCCATAGACTAACATTGCCAATAGACTAACATTGCCAATAGACTAACACTGCCCATAGACTAACATTGCCAATAGACTAACACTGCCCATAGACTAACATTTCCAATAGACTAACATTGCCCATAGACTAACACTGCCCATAGACTAACACTCCCCATAGACTAATATTGCCCATAGACTCACATTGCCCACAGACTAACATTGCCCATAGACTCACATTGCCCATAGACTCACATTGCCCATAGACTAATATTGCCCATAGACTAGCATTGCCCATGGTCTAACACTGCCCATAGACTAACACTGCCCATAGACTAATGACCTCGCCTGGTCTACAGGAGATCGTGGGTTCGATCCCGACCCTGACGACGCCTGCTGCTGTATATTTAGAGTCTGCGTGTCTCTCTCTCATCATCATCACAGTGGCTAGGAGATGTTGACTACCTCGCCTGGTACGCAGGAGGTCGTGGGTTCGACCCCGTATATTCCAAATATACAGGCTGCTGCTGTATATTTGGAATCTGCGTGTCTCTCTCTCTCCCTCTGGTGGTCACTCTGTGGATTTTCCGCCACCATCAATACGAGAATCAACATCACGCGCTAAGAGTGTTTGACTAGTGCTCATACAATTCCACACGGCGATGACGACGACGATGATGATGAGAAGTCACCGCTTGCTTCAGCTGCTATCATTGGGGATAGCAGCCCAACGTCCCTTCTGCCACTGCTATTCAGTGGCCTAAGAAAACATGTTTCGCTCCGGATGACCGCTGCAAAGTATGATCTTGTGTTTTGATTTAGTGTGCTGATCTTTAAAGGTGCATTTAAAAAATCCTAATTTTGGAGCTTTCGTGACTGCAGGAATTATTCTTTGGTTCTTTCGGTTAAGTCACGTCTAAAGAAAAAATAATAAATTAAAATAATAGCATATTACGACGTTTCGATTGCAACACAAGCAATCATCATCAGGCATAAAAGAAATAGCAACAAAAATCTAGAGTATTCTAGTTAGATTTTTGTTGCTATTTATTTTATGCCTGATGATGCTTGCTTGTGTTGCAATCGAAACGTCGTAATATGCTATTATTTTAATTTATTATTTCATCTTTAGACGTGACTTAACCGAAAGAACCAAAGAATACATTTAAAAAATGTTGATACTCCTACTGATACTGTTGTGGTGTGACTCATGCAGCCAGCTATGGCTACAGGGTTGTATTGGTACATGTTGTTTATGTCGTTTATTGTGAAATTTCGGTCACAGTTCCTATGATCACTGTTTCATTGCTTTTATGGCTTTATTTTGGTGATTTCGAAAAACTTTTTGGGGTTCTGGCCATGCTTTGTTTGTTGTAGTACGGAGTTAGACTGATGGCTTTAATCTAAGTTGTCTTGTGGTTGTTGTTGTTGTTGTTGTTTTACTTGCATCCCACTGGGATTTTTGCACACAGCGTTGGTGTACGGTGCTTTTTCTCGTTGAAGATTTTTTTGCTGTTTTTTCCTGGATTTTTCTTTTTGCACGTAGCCACTTTAAGATGTTTTCTTGTTCACGTTTTTTGTTTTTTGTTCGTTGCGGTTGCACCCGATTCAAGAGCCGAATGGCTCACAGTGCTATACCTAATACATGAAACTGAAAAACTGAAACTGAGATCCAGAGATCATTAGACCCATAGAGATCCATACTCACAAAGACCCAGAGACCCACAGAGACCCATAGAATCTCACAGAGACCCAATAAACTAAAACTCTACTGTAGATTTATTTTGATTAGTGTACAAGTAAAGGTGCCCCACTAAGCTACTATATGGCAACTCATCATAGTCATCATCATCATCATCACGAGGAGTTGAAGAGCGGTGGCGAATTTCTCTATAACGCGTACTTCTAAATGTGGAAACACCAGAGGAGTTGGATAACAAGTAAACCCGTAAAAACAAAGTTTTTCACTATAAATCCTTTATATGCGTGGCGGCTAGAGTCCTCTCGTCCTCTGGCTTGAGATGGCTGCCACCTATGGGTCAGATGATTGTCTGCCAGCATTAAACAATTGGTAATTAAATATTTAATTAGTTTTCCCTAAACAGTGTAAAAATTTTCACGAAAATTATTTGTCACACACAACGAGTCTGTGTGGAAAATGTCAGCTCGATTGGATCACGGGAAGTGGGTTAAAAAACGACTGAAAGATTTGCACGGTCCTAAGCAAGCAAGCACGCAAGCAAGCGAACTTAATATAAAGGATTTCAAAAATCCACACAACCACAGGGAATGCGTGCGAATTAGCAGACATTGGGGCAAGCATCGTCAGATAATTGTCACCGGTGTTGTTGGCCGTGAGCGGGAATCGAACTCGGGTCGCCAGGTTCATAGCGCAGAGTAGCGCTAACAACTACACTACCCCTCCCCACACACGCGCACACACGCGCACACACGCGCACACACGCGCACACACGCGCACACACGCGCACACACGCGCACACATAAACATAAACACACTCGCGCGCACACACACATACATACACGCACACACGTATACACACACACATGTACACGCACACACACATGTACACGCACACACGTATACACACACACATGTACACGCACACACACGCGCGAACAAAGACAAAGATCCCCCATATAGCCTTAACAGACTGTAGGGGCAAGTGCTGTTAGCGAGCACCTATGAAGGCCGGCACGGTACACGAGGGGGTGGGTGGCCAACACCACGCCCGACCGCCTTTGTCTCCCCAGTGGCGATGTTTACACACCGCACCAGGTACTCATTTAAGGCTGAGTCGACCTAGGGGAGGCCCAGGACCGGTTCAGATAATCGTCACTGGTGTTAGCCGTGAGCGGGAATCGAACCCGGGTCGCCAGGTTCATAGCGCAGCGCGCTAACCGCTGCACCACCGCTCCCCACACAGGCGCGAACACACACACGTACACACACACACGCGTACACACACGTACACACACTCACACACACGTACATTTAGTCAAACGAGCTGGTCATCATCGCTAAAGCCCAAGTTAATGGGTCACCAAGACGGGTTAATGGTAAACCGTGGCGCTTACGCCCAGACTCAGCTCTGTCAACAAATACCCTACCAGGGGTAGTCATCATCACCACCATCACCACCACCATCCTCATTATCCGTCCCGGGAAGATCTCATCTCATCAACACGAATGGTTAACGTTGAGTGCCTACATCCGTAGCGAGATGACACAAACACACACATTGACTATGCACACGTAGCCACCGCTAGCAATGATTAATGCCAATGCAACCTAAGGAATGTTTATTTTTTTAAACGAAACTGTGGGGTTTTTTTTCATTGTACAACCCCTAACCACTACCCCTATCACTACCCCTATAACTACCCCTACCACTACCCCTATCACTACCCCTATAACTACCCCTACCACTACCCCTATCACTACCCCTATAACTACCCCTACCACTACCAGAACCCCTATCAATACCCATATTACTACCCCTACCACTACCAGTACCCATATCAATACCCCTATCACTACCCCTATCAATACCTCTATCAATACCCCTATCACTACCCCTATCACCTACCCCTATCACTACCCCTATCACTACAACTATCACTACACATATCAATACCCCTATCACTACCCCTATCACTACCCCTAGCACTACTCCTATCACTACCCCTATCACTACCCATATCACTACCCCTATCAATACCCCTAGCAATATCCCTATCACTACCCCTATCATTACCCCTATCAATACCCCTAGCACTACTCCTATCACTGCCCCTAACACTACCCCTATCACTACACCTATCACTACACCTATCAATACCCCTATCAATACCCCTATCAATACCCCTATCAATACCCCTATCAATACCCCTCGCACTACTCCTATCACTACCCCTATCACTGCTCCTACTGCTACACCTATCACTACCCCTATCACTACCCATATCACTGCCCCTACCACTATCCCTATCACTCCCGTCAATTCTGGCATCACCACCACCCTCACCACCACCACCATCACCACCACCACCACTTTTATTAGTAGTAACGACCCCAGCACGCTTTATTTTCTCAGCCGCTATCGCCTCGTGTACTCGTTTATAATCAGCTATAAATCACCTTTGAATAAAGGCTCTGCTATATAAATTTAGAAAAGATAATCATTAACTAAGATCCAGGACAAATAACGATAATGGCCGTGTCAGAGTCACTGGGTGTCTATGTGTCTCTGCGTCAGTCTCCGTGTGAGTCTATGGGTCTCTGTGTGAGTCTATGGGTCTCTGTGTGAGTCTCTGTGTGAGTCTATGGGTTATTGTGTGAGTCTATGGGTCTCTGTGTGAGTCTCTGTGTGAGTCTATGGGTCTCTGTGTGAGTCTATGGGTCTCTGTGTGAGTCTCTGTGTGAGTCTATGGGTTATTGTGTGAGTCTATGGGTCTCTGTGTGAGTCTCTGTGTGAGTCTATGGGTCTCTGTGTGAGTCTCTGTGTGAGTCTATGGGTATTTGTGTGAGTCTATGGGTCTCTGTGTGAGTCTCTGTGTGAGTCTATGGGTCTCTGTGTGAGGCTCTGTGTGAGTCCATGGATCTCTGTGTGAGTCTCTGTGTGAGTCAATGGGTCTCTGTGTGAGTCTATGGGTCTCTGTTTGAGTCTATGGGTCTCTGTGTGAGTTTATGGGTCTCTGTGTGAGTCTACGGGTCTCCGAGTGAGTCTATGGGTCTCTGTGTGAGTCTATGGGTCTCTGTGTGAGTCTCTGTGTGAGTGTCTGGGTCTCTGTGTGAGTCTCTGTGTGAGTCTATGGGTCTCTGTGTGAGTCTATGGGTCTCTGTGTGAGTATCTGTGTGAGTCTATGTGTCTCTGCGTGAGTCTCCGTGTGAGTCTATGGGTCTCTGTGTGGGTCTATGTGTGAGTCTCTGTGTGAGTCTATGGGTATTTGTGTGAGTCTATGGGTCTCTGTGTGAGGCTCTGTGTGAGTCCATGGATCTCTGTGTGAGTCTCTGTGTGAGTCTGTGGGTCTCTGTGTGAGTCAATGGGTCTCTGTGTGAGTCTATGGGTCTCTGTTTGAGTCTATGGGTCTCTGTGTGAGTCTATGTGTCTCCGAGTGAGTCTATAGGTCTCTGTGTGGGTCTATGGGTCTCTGTGTGAGTCTACGGGTCTCCGAGTGAGTCTATGGGTCTCTGTGTGGGTCTATGGGTCTCTGTGTGAGTCTATGGGTCTCTGTGTGAGTCTCTGTGTGAGTGTCTGGGTCTCTGTGTGAGTCTCTGTGTGAGTCTATGGGTCTCTGTGTGAGTCTATGGGTCTCTGTGTGAGTATCTGTGTGAGTGTCTGGGTCTCTATGTGAGTCTCTGTGTGAGTCTATGGGTCTCTGTGTGAGTCTATGGGTCTCTGTGTGAGTCTCTGTGTGAGTGTCTGGGTCTCTGTGTGAGTCTCTGTGTGAGTCTATGGGTCTCTGTGCGTGTCTATGGGTCTCTGTGCGAGTCTCTGTGTGAGTGTCTGGGTCTCTGTGTGAGTCTCTGTGTGAGTCTATGGGTCTCTGTGTGAGTCTATGGGTCTCTGTGTGAGTATCTGTGTGAGTGTCTGGGTCTCTATGTGAGTCTCTGTGTGAGTCTATGGGTCTCTGTGTGAGTCTATGGGTCTCTGTGTGAATCTCTGTGTGAGTGTCTGGGTCTCTGTGTGAGTCTCTGTGTGAGTCTATGGGTCTCTGTGTGAGTCTATGGGTATCTGTGTGAGTCTCTGTGTGAGTGTCTGGGTCTCTGTGTGAGTCTCTATGTGAGTCTATGAGTCTCTGTGTGAGTCTATGGGTCTCTGTGCGAGTCTCTGTGTGAGTGTCTGGGTCTCTGTGTGAGTCTCTATGTGAGTCTATGGGTCTCTGCGTGAGTCTCCGGGTCTCCGAGTGAATGAATTGAGGCGGGGGGGGGGGGGCGGCGGTGACGTCACCGCGGTATTTCCACCCGGTGAGGTAATTAACCTGTTGACGTCACGCACTAACGGGCCCCTCTCAGCCAATAAGCGCGCGGGCAGCCCGGAGGTATTTAAAGAGGGCACCTATGGAATGTTGGGCTCAGTTGCAAGTCGAGTTGGCGAGTGATTGGTCACCGTTACAGGCTTTCACGTAGCACTCGCAGATTGTGCCACCAACACCGCTGCTGGTATTCGCATTGCCACAGCATCTTTCAGCGCGTGTCAACGATCGCAGTCGGATCTCACAGTCATTCGCCACGGAGCGATTTTGATTCGGCGTTCGGGCATCTGCAATAGATTTCGATCGGGAGGCGAATCGGATCATCTCTCATTATGCGCTATTTTTTTTTGTTCAGCTGGACTTGAAACGGAGGGGGCGGGGAACGTTTGGGCAGCCGGTTGGTAGGTAGGTGAGTTCATAGGTAGGTTGGTAAGTAGGTAGGTTTAAGTGTAGGCGCTTTCTAAGGTCCACTCGTTCGCGAATTAATCCAGTGAATAATCACCGCCACGGGGGAGACAAAGGCGGCCGGGTCGTGCCTGGTGGTTTGCTTCCCGCCCACCCATCCGACTCTCTCCCGTTTGTGCCACGGTACCAGCGCCTTCATAGGTGCTGCTGCTGCTGCTGCCACTCGCTACTCACAGCCACTTGCCCCGACAGTCTGTTAGAGGCTACACGGGGGAGCTTTGTCTGTGTATAGGCGCTGCTGCTACTCGCTAGTAACAGCACTTGCCCCGACAGCCTGTTAGAGGCTACACGGGGGATCTTTGTCTGTATATAAGCGGTGCTACTCGCTACTCACTGCCACTTGCCCCGACAGTGTGTTAGAGGCTACACGGGGGATCTTTTTCTGTGTATGGGCGCTGCTGCTACTCGCTAGTAACAGCCACTTGCCCCGACAGCCTGTTAGAGGCTACACGGGGGATCTTTGTCTGTGTATAGGCGCTGCTGCTACTCGCTAGTAACAGCACTTGCCCCGACAGCCTGTTAGAGGCTACACGGGGGATCTTTGTCTGTATATAGGCGCTGCTGCTACTCGCTACTCACTGCCACTTGCCCCGAAAGTGTGTTAGAGGCTACACGGGGGATCTTTGTCTGTGTATGGGCGCTGCTGCTACTCGCTAGTAACAGCACTTGCCCCGACAGCCTGTTAGAGGCTACACGGGGGACCTTTGTCTGTGTATGGGCGCTGCTGCTACTCGCTAGTAACAGCACTTGCCCCGACAGTCTGTTAGAGGCTACACGGGGGAGCTTTGTCTGTGTATAGGCGCTGCTGCTACCCGCTAGTAACAGCACTTGCCCCGACAGCCTGTTAGAGGCTACACGGGGGATCTTTGTCTGTATATAGGCGCTGCTGCTACTCGCTACTCACTGCCACTTGCCCCGACAGTGTGTTAGAGGCTACACGGGGGATCTTTGTCTGTGTATAGGCGCTGCTGCTACTCGCTACTCACTGCCACTTGCCCCAGCAGTCTGCTAGAGGCTACACGGGGGATCTTTGTCTGTGTATGGGCGCTGCTGCTACTCGCTAGTAACAGCACTTGCCCCGACAGTCTGTTAGAGGCTACACGGGGGATCTTTGTCTGTGTATGGGCGCTGCTGCTACTCGCTACTCACAGCCACTTGCCCCAACAGTCTGTTAGAGGCTACACGGGGGACCTTTGTCTGTGTATAGGCGCTGCTGCTACTCGCTAGTAACAGCACTTGCCCCGACAGTCTGTTAGAGGCTACACGGGGATCTTTGTCTGTGTATGGGCGCTGCTGCTACTCACTAGTAACAGCACTTGCCCCGACAGTCTGTTAGAGGCTACACGGGGATCTTTGTCTGTGTATGGGCGCTGCTGCTACTCGCTAGTAACAGCACTTGCCCCAGCAGTCTGTTAGAGGCTACACGGGGGATCTTTGTCTGTGTATAGGCGCTGCTGATACGCGCTACTCGCAGCTACTTGCCCCGACAGCCTGTTAGAGGCTACTCGGGGGACCTTTGTCTTTCTAGTGATCGTTATCGGCAGGTAGGAGGCGCGGATGATATTTTTCCCGAGCCTCTGAAACTTTTATCGTTAAGAGTCGCTCACTGAACAGCGAGCGGTCGTGTTTAACTCACACGCGTGAACAGACACATATAGATAAACGCAACTCTATATTAACGTGAATACGATGGGGAAAAAATCTAAAGATCTCAACGGAGTCGGTGGCGACAACTTGGCCTACGTCCAAGATGAAGAGAAAGGAAAGGTAAGAGGCGTCGCTCCTTTATTCAACCATCCGATGGCCACGTTGAGATTGGCTATCTGTACAACGTAGTGATCCTTTATTTAACCATCTGATAGCCTGTTGAGATTCGCTATCTGTACAACGTAGTGATTGGTTTCTCTATATTTAACCATCTGATAGCCTGTTGAGATTCGCTATCTGTAAACCATATCGATTGGTGTTCCTGTATTTAACCATCCGATGGCCCCGTTGAGATTGGCTATCTATACGCCGTAGTGATCCTTTATTAAACCATCCATGGCCCCGTTGAGATTCGCTATCTACACACCGTAGTGATTGGTTTCTCTATATTTAACCATCTGATAGCCTGTTGAGATTCGCTATCTGTACACCATATCGATTGGTGTTCCTGTATTTAACCATCCGATAGCCCGTTGAGATTGGCTATCTATACCCCGTGGTTATCCTTTATTCAACCGTCCGTGGCCATGTTGAGATTCGCTATCTACCACCGTAGTGATTGGTGTTCCTGTATTTAACCATCCGATAGCCTGTTGAGATTCGCTATCTGTACACCATATCGATTGGTGTTCCTGTATTTAACCATCCGATAGCCCGTTGAGATTCGCTATCTATACACCATATCGATTGGTGTTCCTGTATTTAACCATCCGATAGCCTGTTGAGATTCGCTATCTACACACCGTAGTGATCCTTTATTCAACCATCCGATGGCCACGTTGAGATTCGTTACCTACCACCGTAGTGATTGGTTTCTCTATATTTAACCATCTGATAGCCTGTTGAGATTCGCTATCTGTACACCATATCGATTGGTGTTCCTGTATTTAACCATCCGATAGCCCGTTGAGATTGGCTATCTATACCCCGTAGTGATCCTTTATTTAACCATCCGTGGCCACGTTGAGATTCGCTATGTACCACCGTAGTGATTGGTGTTCCTGTATTTAACCATCCGATAGCCTGTTGAGATTCGCTATCTGTACACCATATCGATCGGTGTTCCTGTATTTAACCATCCGATAGCCTGTTGAGATTCGCTATCTGCATACCGTAGTGATCCTTTATTCAACCATCCGATGGCCCCGTTGAGATTGGCTATCTATACCCCGTAGTGATCCTTTATTTAACCATCCGATGGCCCCGTTGAGATTCGCTATCTACACGCCGTAGTGATCCTTTATTCAACCATCTGATAGCCTGTTGAGATTCGCTATCTACACGCCGTAGTGATCCTTTATCCAACCATCCGATTGCCACGTTGAGATTCGTTATCTACCACCGTAGTGATTGGTTTCTCTATATTTAACCATCTGATAGCCTGTTGAGATTCGCTATCTGTACACCATATCGATTGGTGTTCCTGTATTTAACCATCCGATAGCCTGTTGAGATTCGCTATCTGCATACCGTAGTGATCCTTTATTCAACCATCCGATGGCCCCGTTGAGATTGGCTATCTATACAACGTAGTGATCCTTTATTTAACCATCCGATGGCCCCATTGAGATTCGCTATCTACACGCCGTAGTGATCCTTTATTTAACCATCCGATGGCCCCGTTGAGATTGGCTATCTATCACCATAGTGATCCTTTATTCAACCATCCGATGGCCCCGTTGAGATTGGCTATCTATCACCGTAGTGATTGGTTTGCCTGTATTTAACCATCTGATAGCCTGTTGAGATTCGCTATCTTTACACCATATCGATTGGTGTTCCTGTATTTAACCATCTAATAGCCTGTTGAGATTCGCTATCTACACACTATATCGATTGGTGTTCCTGTATTTAACCATCTAATAGCCTGTTGAGATTCGCTATCTACACACCATATCGATTGGTGTCCCTGTATTTATATAGCCCCATTGAGATTCGCTATCTATACACCATATCGATTGGTGTTCCTGTATTTAACCATCTGATAGCCTGTTGAGATTCGCTATCTATACACCATATCGATTGGTGTCCCTGTATTTAACAATCTAATAGCCCCATTGAGATTCGCTATCTATACACCATATTGATTGGTGTCCCTGTATTTAACAATCTGATAGCCTGTTGAGATTCGCTATCTATTCACCATATCGATTGGTGTCCCTGTATGTAACAATCTGATAGCCCTATTCAGATTCGCTATTTATTCACCGTACTGATAGGCGTCTTTCAAAGTAAGGCGGCATTGCCCGAAATATATACACACACGTATACATAATTATATATTTTATCATATAATGTATAACTATTTATATATTACATATGTAATGTATATAAAATGTACAGCTATAATTTGTTATTGAAATAACAGATGCTGACAAATTTGTCTTCGACCATGTGGACAAATCGCGTGCGCATATCAACAACAAATGCCACCACTCCCGTCGGTTCGTTCGTTCATTCCTCCATTCATTCTTCTGTTCGTTCATTCGTTTATGCATTCGTCCATCCGTTCATTCTTTCATCCGTTCGTCTGTTCATTCGTTCATTCATTCGTCCATCCGTTCATTCTTTCATCCGTTCGTCTGTTCATTCGTTCATTCATTTGTCCATCCGTTCATTCTTTCATCCGTTCGTCTGTTAATTCGTCCATCCGTTCATTCTTTCATCCGTTCGTCCGTTCATTCTTTCATTCGTCCGTCCGTTCATTCGTTTGTCCGTCCGTCCGTCCGTCCATTCATTCAACCGTTCACCCGTCCGTCCCTTCCTTCTTCCGTTCATTCACCCGTCCATGCGTCCGTCCCTTCCTTCCTCCGTTCATTCACCCGTCCATTCATTCGTCCGTCCGTCTGTTCATTCGTCCTCCTCTTCCACCACCCCGCCCGCCCGCCCTTCCAGGCCTCCGGGGCGACATCCCAGGTCGCTTCCGATGCCCCGGACGCACTGCCGGATCGCGGGACGTGGAACTCCAAGGCGGAGTACCTCCTCTCCATGGTGGGGTACGCGGTGGGGCTGGGCAATGTGTGGCGCTTCCCCTACCTGGCCTACAAGAACGGAGGAGGTGATCGATGCACCGCGAATCGTCGGTCCACCTCCACACGCCGCCGGCGGGCACACGTACAGACATGCACGCTCGCGCGTACCCACACACGTACAGACCGGCTGTACCCCTCCTACTGTGCCAGGCTAGGTGCAGGAGGTCTCGGGACAGACCCAGAAGGTGCCATGGGTTGACTACTGTGCCAGGCTAGGTGCAGGAGTGTCACGGGACAGACCCAGCACGTGCCATGGGTTAACTACTGTGCCAGGCTAGGTGCAGGAGGTCACGGGACAGACCCAGCAGGTGCCATGGGTTAACTACTGTGCCAGGCTAGGTGCAGGAGGTCACGAGACAGACCCAGCAGGTGCCATGGATCGACTGACTGAGATGACCACTGGTAGATGCACCACCAGCTGTACCCCCCTACTGTGCCAGGCTCGGTGCAGGAGGTCTCGGGACAGACCCAGCAGGTGCCATGGGTTGACCGACTGAGATGACCGGTAGATGCACCACCAGCTGTACCCCCCTACTGTGCCAGGCTAGGTGCAGAAGGTCTCGTGACAGACCCAGCAGGTGCCATGGGTTAACTAATGTGCCAGGCTAGGTGCAAGAGGTCTCGGGACAGACCCAGCAGGTACCGTGGGTCGGCTGACTGAGAGGATCGGTAGATGCACCACCAGCTGTTACCCCCCTACTGTGCCAACTTGCCGTATTTTATCCGCCCCGGGCGCTCCGCTCGTTGTTGTGAGAGTGTCGCTCCTTTGCCCTCCGTCGTTGTTGAGGGAGGGCGACTGCCTCCGACGGCCCAGCAGAAGCAGCAGGGTCCTACGCGAGCCTCCTCCAAAGGTCGCAACCGGGTACACGATACACGTACCCTACCCGATACCCGGCTACCCGTACCCGGCCGGGTACGGGTACCCATTTGCGACCTTGGTGCGGCCGGGTACGGGTACGGGTAGGCCGTGAGTCACTGGTGAGTAACCGTTTGTCACTCATTTCGGGTAGGGTACGGGTACGGGTAGGCCGTGAGTCACTGGTGAGTAACCGTTTGTCACTCATTTCGGGTAGGGTACGGGTACGGGTAGGCCGTGAGTCACTGGTGAGTAACCGTTTGTCACTCATTTCGGGTAGGGTACGGGTACGGGTACCCATTTGCGACCCTGGTGCGGCCGGGTACGGGTAAGGAATCAAAACCCGTTTGCGACCTCTGGCCTCCTCCACAGACGCACACACACAGAGATCACCAAACACTCCAACCCCAGAGACTCCCCCGTGAAGTAATCGCATACTTGAGGCGAGATAGAGAAGGAGGAAGAGACACGTCACGCAGCAAACATCAACATTTTCTTCCCAATGACTGATGGAAGCGTACGTCACACAAACACCGGCTTACGTCTCGTGGACCAGCAGGTGTAGGCAGCGACGACACAGACACGCAGACACACACGCAGACACACACACAGACACGCACACGCACGCACACACACAGAGACAAGCACACAGAGACACGCACACAGAGACACGCACACAGAGACCAGCACACACACAGACACGCACACACACAAACACACGCACAGACACGCACACACACACACAGACACACAGACACGCAGACACACAGACACGCAGACACACACAGACACACACAGACACGCAGACACACACACAGACAGACACACAAACACAGACACACACAGACACGCAGACACACAGCCACACAGACACACACAGACACGCAGACACACACACACAGACATACACATACACACACAGACACACAGACACACAGCAACACAGACAAACACAGACACGCAGACACACACACACAGACATACACATACACACACAGACACGCAGACACACAGACACGCAGACACACAGACACACACACACCGACCCACACACACCGACACACACACCGACACACACACAGAAACAAAGCCACAAGCACTGTCTGTAATTTTTTTTATTGGATTTTTCTCACATCGAGTGGACCCCACTCAAGCGGGTCACCCCGCTCTGCCGACTGCACCGTTTAAGCTCGACGCCGAACGAGACTTGACGCTTCGAGTGGCACCCCTCCACAGCGTCACGTGGCCACGTGAAGTGTTAAAGGTTTACTGGTGGTACGTCAATGGGAGACAGCATCCTTTGAAAGTTGAAATGAACAAGTGGGTGCAAGGGTTTTTGTTTTTTGTTGTTTGCCTTGAAACGTTCGTGACTGCGGGCATTCGTGTGCTTGGTTCTTTTAGGTGAAGTCACGTGGATAGAAAATAAAAATAATTTTAAAAATACAATTAAATCAAAAGTAAACAATAAAACAGTGTACAAATATTAATTGAAATAATGAAAGCAAAAAAAAAAACACTGTGTGTTTTTTGCTTTAATTATTTTCAATTTTTATTTTTTATTTTTTAATTATATTTTTTTATTTTTTTTATCTGCTTAACTTTACCACGCACAAGGGGTGTAAAGCCCCCTTCAGAGGTTAGTGGCGATGCAGTAGCGCTTTTTTTCCCGAAGCCACCCACTGACTTATCACAAATGATAGCTCAGTGGCTGATTTCATCATCGTCGTCGTCGTAATGTAAAGCTGCAGGAAAATGGGTGAGTGAGTGGGCGAGTGTGTCGCTGGGTGAGTGGGTGAAGGAGTGAGTGGGTGGGTGGGTGAGTTAAGGGGTGGGTGGGTGAGTGGGTGAGTGGGTGGGTGGGTGGGTGAGTTAGTGGGTGGGTGGGTGAGTGAGTGAGTGTGTGAGTGAGTGAGTGGGTGGTGAGTGAGAGAGAGAGTGAGTGTGTGAATGAGTGGTGGGTGAGTGGGAGAGTGAATGAGTGGGTGGATGGGTGAGTGAGTGGGCGAGTGTGTCGCTGGGTGAGTGGGTGAAGGAGTGAGTGAGTGGGTGGGTGAGTGGATGGGTGGGTGGGTGAGTTAGTGGGTGGGTGGGTGGTTGAGTGAGTGAGTGAGTGTGTGAGTGAGTGGGTGGGTGAGTGAGTGGGTGGGGGTGAGTGAGTGAGAGAGAGAGTGAGTGTGTGAGTGAGTGGTGGGTGAGTGGGTGGGTGGGAGAGTGAGTGAGTGGGTGGATGGGAGAGTGAGTGAGTGGGTGGATGGGTGAGTGAGTGGGCGAGTGTGTCGCTGGGTGAGTGGGTGAAGGAGTGAGTGAGTGGGTGGGTGAGTTAAGGGGTGGGTGGGTGAGTGGGTGGGTGGGTGAGTTAGTGGGTGAGCGAGTGAGTGAGTGAGTGAGTGAGTGAGTGGGTGGGTGGGTGAGTGAGTGAGTGTGTGAGTGAGTGGGTGGGTGAGTGAGTGGGTGGGTGATTGAGTGAGTGTGTGAGTGAGTGGTGGGTGGGTGGGAGAGTGAGTGAGTGGGTGGGTGAGTTAGTGGGTGGGTGGGTGAGTGAGTGAGTGAGTGTGTGAGTGAGTGGGTGGGTGGGTGGGTGGGTGAGTGAGTGAGTGTGTGTGAGTGAGTGGTGGGTGAGTGGGTGGGTGGATGGGAGAGTGAGTGGGCGAGTGTGTCGCTGGGTGAGTGGGTGAAGGAGTGAGTAGGTGGGTGGGTGAGTTAGTGGGTGGGTGGGTGAGTGGGTGGGTGGGTGAGTTAGTGGGTGGGTGGGTGAGTGAGTGAGTGGGTGGGTGAGTGAGTGAGTGAGTGTGTGAGTGAGTGGGTGGGTGAGTGGGTGGGTGGAGGGTGATTGAGTGAGTGTGTGAGTGAGTGGTGGGTGGGTGGGAGAGTGAGTGAGTGAGCGAGTGTGTCGCTGGGTGAGTGGGTGAAGGAGTGAGTAGGTGGGTGGGTGAGTTAGTGGGTAAGTGGGTGAGTGGGTGGATGGGTGAGCGGGTGAGTGAGCAAGTGGGCGGTTGAGTGAGTAAACATGCCCTAAGCCACAGAACCTTGACCTATCTAATAACACGACATCTGCCACTATGGAGACAAAGGCGGACGGGTGTGGTATTGATTGGCCACTCTCACGACCGCACATCGCTCCACACCTGCTTGCTGCTCGCTAATGACGCCGTCCATAAATGACGTCACGCGAAATTTTGACCCTCCCCCCCCCCCCCCCGTCGTCACAAAAAGTCAGACCCCCCCTCAAATATGACGTCACGAAGCTCTGCCACCTCCCCCCCCCCCCCAAAAAAAAACATATTTCTATTTTGAAAATTAAACATGCTTCAATTCGCTTGAAACCAGGGGCGGTTTCTTCATTAGGGCGATTGGGCGACGCACCACCAATGTCATTCAACCACAGAGTCACGCTAGCCGTCACTGTGCCTCTGGATATAGTCCAATCAGCGTCATGTCACGTTCTGTGGAGTACCGCCTCTTTTTGGGCGATTTCACTCCGGCTGAGAATCGCCCAGAGTGGTCCCATAGACTTACATTCAAAGATGTTTTTTTTCGACCGGGGGGCGCTGCAATGCATTCTCTATGGCTTCCGGGAGGGCTCGCACTAACGTGTTTACGTCATCATACGTAAGCACGTTTCATCCAACAATATAATTTGTCGCCACCTAGTGGAATCTTAAATAAAATAAACTTTAGTGGTTTGTTTTAATAGTGAGTATAGAAACAAACAAGATGTATTGTAAGAGTCACTTTATTTTTCATTAATATTAAAGAAGTGAAGTTGCCTTTACATGCTTAAGCTGTTAATTTATCCATTGCATGGGTGGACCTTATCCTTATCAATCATTCAGACATTTGCCCCCCCTGAGAGATTTTGCAGGAGCCGCCACTGCTTGAAACTATTGTCGTTGTAGTGCGTATTTAATGTGGCGCAGCACTCTGATGTTGTAGGAGTGTTGTTATAACAATTAGTGTTGTTATAACAATTCTATATTTATTTAGAGTTGCGCATTTTGATGTGACGTCACATTTCTCAACCCCCCCCCCCCCCCTCATCACAAATGTCTGACCCCACCCCTCCCCCCTAGGTGCGTGACGTCATTTATGGACGGCCCCATGTGTCCCGAGTTGATGATTGAACTCCGGGCAGTTTGAGAGGCGTCATTAAAAAAAAAAAATTATAAATAT